AAAAACGCGAAATAGTTTCTGAAGAACTTAACACAAAGCACTTTCTGAAGAGTGGGGAATAGTTTCTGAGGGGCGCGAAATGGTTTCTGAAGAACGCGAAACTGTTTCAAAAAAAACGCGGAATAGTTTCTGAAGAATTGGGGAATAGTTTCTGAGGTCTCAATGCAGTTTTCACAGCATGTACTTGAAGGTACTTTTGCTGTAGGTTTGAACGTTTGTATGCTCGATTGCGGCCATTTAGGGCCCTTGAGTCACCGTGGTCACGACCCTACTCGTTCGACTTGTGAAGAAAAGGCAGGTTCGACTTTGTGTGCGATTACCTGTTCAAGCAGATTGGTAGCGGAGCTCAAGACGTTCCAGGTTGACGGTTTCTTCGGTGATCTTTTTGATTGAGGAGACCTTTGTTTTCCTTTGGAAGGTTGAGAATAAGCTCCCATGTCCGGAATGGAGAGAAGTCCACGAAGGACACCCGTCCGTCGAGCGCGGACCTCGGCACCTGCAAATCCAGCAGCTGCCGATCCAGTACTACAGGAGGAGGACTGTTTGCGAATGTTGAGAGTGATGATCCTGGCCTTCCGCTTCCAGGTATTCCTTTTTCTTCGGCTTCGCAGAGCAAGGGACTTGATTCAGGTCTAGCTAAAGCATGTCCGTCCACCGACAACCTGAACCAGAAGAGCTACAGAAGTTTCAGGCGCAGATTGGAGTTGTTTCAGAGGCAGTGCAGCAGACGAGGACGTGAAGTTGCTGTCGGGGAAAAGTGTCTAAAGAGCGCGAAGTAATTTCTGAAGACCGCAAAGTAGTTTGAAGATCGCGAAATAGTTTCTGAAGATTGTGAAATAGTTTCTGTGAGCAGTTGCGGAGGAATAGCAAATAGTTGCGGAAGAAAAGTTTAAGAAGAATGAAGAGTTACGGAATAGTCTACTTGCTATTTGTTGACCCAGCTTGCGAGCTAGGCGCCCATTGTCGATCCAAGTCTTGAAAGAAATGCACGACCCCAAATCAAAGCTCTCATGTGATCCAACCTCTACAAGAATTTTACTTCCCATCTCCAAAATGAGACACCTAGGCAACTCATCCTGCCAGTGTGCGCAGGCAAGTCTCTGGGAAAAATCGAAAAATTAAACTTATCCTTGGTTGCTTGACCTGGTCAAGTTTGTTTGGGGCGAGGTCAATGCCAAAACCAAGCCCATTCACCTACAGTGGGCCATTCACTCTTGGGGTATCGTCATCAAACCGTATAGTACAAGCGCCGTACCTAGTATATAGGTAAAGTAAATTAATATCTTTGAGTCAACGAGGGTTCGCGAACCTGTTGCAAAACAAAGCCAATCATTTCACGAGAAGAATCAGCCAAATGTGTAAACTATATTTGCATCTGCACCCTCGCCTTGCAATCCTCAGGGAGGTCGACACTCCATATTCCCCGACCATGCAAGGCCTTACTAGCACAACATCAACGAATTGTCTTTGGAACTAAACGATATTCCGCAAATCCTGGACATGCTCCGAAAGATGTAGCAGTATGAAGGAGGAGGCAGGCTACAACGAGAATCAGAAGAAGGCAAAGGATAAGACAAGAAAGTGATGGCATCACTCACAAAGAGAACACTGACAAAATGTGTATATACCGACCGTATGTGGTGCATCATGTCCGGCCCCTCCCTTCTTGTTGTGTTTCTTTGATTACAGGACTTGTAAGGGTATTAACTATCCTGGTGCATACTTCTAGACAAGAACCCAACATTGGATTCTGAGAGGGTTCCTTGAAATTATTCCAAAGGAATACGAACAATCCTGTTTCCAACTCTCTATAAGTCCACGACTCGCTGGAATGCTCCATCACTACCCGGCAACTCCTGCGCAATCTTTGCGCACTCTGTTTTTTGACATTATCGATGAAAAGTTCTAGTTTTACGGTACAGTTCATGAACTGCATGTATTCGCCCTAGTTCGATGCGTTGCACAACACTCACCTAAGGATAGCATGCTGCATACCTTGTCGCGTAAATATGCACTGAAGGTCCTGGCGGTCCTCGTGCTGGACACCATTTTGTGAAATGTTGTCCGGCTTTTCTCTCGCCGTCATGGACTTTGCCTGCTGCTCTAGTGTTCTTGAGGCCTGTCCGATCTGTATCTTGGCACGGTGCTCCGGCGGTGGCATGGGCCTCCCTCTTGGCTCTGCAAATGATGTCTTCTGCATCTCGTATCCTTCCTGTTCTGGATTCATGGGAAACCTGGAACCGACTTCCCAATCGTCTATACCGGAAGCCAAAGGTTCTTGTAAATCCTGTCCCGGTTGTAGAGACGATGAAAGCGTTGCCAAACTCTTCGCCTCTGCAGGTTCTGGTGGTTCTAGTGTCTCTTGACATTCTTGTGGTTCTGATGCTTTTGGTCGGCTTGGTGATCCCTTCACCTCTGTCCGGCTCAATCCTCGGGTGTGCGATGCATTCGGAGAATTGTCCTTCACATGCGCAAGTTCTCTGTGTTCTCCTTTGTTTTGCATGTGAGCTTCGCCAGCTTCAAAATCATTGCAGCTGGGGCCCTGCTGCGAATGTGAAGCAGAATCGAGCTTCTCTTGGAATTGTCGCTGAAGTTGATAGAACCGTTGCTGGAGTTTCAAAAACTCTTCTTCCTGCTCCTTCTCCCAAAGCTGTTTCCTCCTCTGCTGTTCTTTTTGCCACTGATCTTCCAGCTCCTCTTGGCGTTTTTTAAGAAGCTGCTGCTGCTGTGTCTCCCATTCATATCTCTTCTGCACTTCGGACTCAAATTGTACCTTCATCCCAGCTTGCAGTTCAGCTTGTTCTCGTGCAAAATGTTGAATGCGCTCTCTTTGCTGCTCCTGCTGTTGCTGTGCCCTCTGACGTTCCGTGTCAAGCTCTTGCCATTGCTTTGCCAATTCTTCATGCGCCCTCTCAAGCTTTTCTACAATATGAAGTTGCTGCACTTCAAACTCTTCACCCTTGTACAACAGTTCCTGGCACCATTCAGGCACTCCCTGCCCTTTTGGAACAGGGAAGTCTATAAGCCTTTCAACATCTTTTGACACGTGTCTGCCTATTGCTCGGGGATTCTGATTTTGGATATTACTAGCGCACCCAAAAGTTGGGTTGCCCTGCATCTTTGGTGCTGAGTCCTCAACGGAGGCAGCTGGCACCAACGGCACATTTGGCCTTTGATTGCATGTACTGTGAAGACTTGCTAGTATGACCGCACAAAGGCAAGAGTCTGTGTGTGTGTGTGCACGTGCCACTCAGTGTCCAGCTTCCCGTCCTTGCACACAAAAGCAACTAAAACCTCTATATGCAACTACAAGCTGACATCGCAAGTTACCAACAAACACTTTACCAATCTACATCAATCTACACCTCTAGCTGGCGGAACTTCAAGCACACAACATGTTCACCAAGCGGCTTGCTGAGGCTCACCTCATAAGGCGATGTCTCTCTATTTAGGCGCTGGGGTATATGTAATGGAACATGAAATACAGTATTTGTTTGGTGGTTGATTGCCTTCTCTGCTTCCAACATCATTGGATGACCTCAACTTCAACCGCACAACCTTCCAGTCAACACAGTCCCTCTAAAAGCACAAAGCCTTCAGCACTGGTTCTTGATAACATTGATAACGTTAACCTGGGGCGGCTGCACATTGCGACCCTCTTTCGCTGCACCTTTCTCTGCAGCCTAAGGAGTAAGAAGTGAAAGGCACTGCCTGCAATTCTTCGACATGGCAATAGAGCCACGCATCCAGCAATTTGGTTTCAGACTCGCAGGTCAACAACAGGAAGGAAAGATCCGTGGCTAGAAGTTGCACCTTCTTCCTGGCAAAATGTGCAAGATGCTCCATGGCTTGGTGGCCGATCACCCACCCTCATTTTCTGGCACCTGATGATCTGCCAGGTTTTTTTGCATCCTCCGAAGTGGCTTCAACAAGGATTAACCCCAAGCCACACAGATGTAGCGGCTTCCAACAGCCAAAAAATGAATTGGAAAGGAAAGGAAAGCAAGTCTGCTGCGACCTGGTTAGTTTGCACGTTGCTTTCTATGCGTTGGCAATAATCGTCAAAAATCTTGCTGAAAAGCATTGATTTTGAGAGTTGCATGAACATGGGAAGGCAATCACACAATCGTTGCAAACCAACAAGAGGGGAAGACACCATGCCCAGCTTGAAGATATCACTAAGGTGCCAGCACTTGCTTCAGAGACCCTTGGCGAACGAGGAACCCGTCAAGGCCTCACACGAGTTGTCAGGCAAGCCTTGATGGCAAAGTTAAGCAACAAGTCACGACAAGTCGTCTTCAATTTGTGGTCAAAGGTGTCCGGCTTTGTAACGAAGGGCAAACAGATGTTAGACGGCTGAAATAGCCTCAGGCAAGTGCTTCGCAGTCCAAGGAATACAACCAACATAAACCAACCACTGCACACATGAACCAAGCGATGGGCGGCTTATGGCACCGCCAATGGCAGAATCGTCTTGTTTTTCCTTGGGAACCGCACGGACCTTCCAAATTCTGGATGGATTGTGCACGGACAAATTATCGGACCAGCAATTAGAAGGACTAATTGCTCTCACCACTTGTCAAGTCAGATTAACTCAAATTGAACATCGGGGTCATCTTGTTTGTGAATACCGTGTCAGAAGAAAACATAAAGAAGTCATCTGAGTCATCTGTGATTACCAAACCGCTGTCATCTTTCTATCATCTCACAAATGGGAGGTCTGTGGGCAGCGGGCAGGCCCGTGGATGTCACCCCTTGTCATTCCTTCGCTGCTGTACTTACAGCTCCACATGGTACACGTGCAGGCCAAGGAAGATAAGGTTCGTGCATACCACACATGTCAAGCCTAAGTGTGTTGCTCCGTTGTGCTCTTTGTGGCAGATTGGCAAAAAGGAGCAAAAGGGCACCTGAGAAGGGAGGGGACGAAAGCCAGCCTTTGCCTCAAGGGGGGGGCGCTCAGGGCAGAGTATACACAGGTTTGGGGGGGAGGGGTACCCTTTTTCGTAGTGGTTTAGGGTCGTTTTGGGGTGAAAAAAGGGCACCCCGAAGGAAGTGAGGGGTGGTAGCTTGCTGTGTGGTGCCAATCAGTGAGCAAAGATGGTTATGTGGGGAGCCCGTGGGCGAGGCTGGTGGCAGGCTTTCGGGAGGAGACATATACGCATTCAGGTAGAATAGAGAAAGAGTAGAGGCTGGCAGTGGTGAAGTTGATATTGCAGCCCTTTGAGCGTGCAAGACACAGTGATTGGTGAACATCGGGCAAAACGTATTTTCATGTAGCGAAGTTCATTTTGCAACCACTTGCGCAGGAGTAGAAAGTGAAAGTAGAATACATAGGTTTGGGGGTGTGCCCTTTTTTCGTGTTGGTGGAGGGCCGTTTCGGAGGTGGAAACGGGCACCCCGAAGGAGTAGAATACATAGATTGCAGCCACTTGGCCTTGTGAGTCCGGCAACCCTAGCAATGCAACGCTTACCCACTCCAGTCTGTTCTCTCACATGCCCCCAACAGATGGCATCATGCACCCCATACAGGGTGCCCTTTTGAGTCCGACAAGTAGACCTTTCCACGGATAAAAAAAGGGCACCGCTTAGCACCTTCCACCGCCAATGGGGTGCCCTTTTCAGTCCGGCAACTCAACCTTTCCAAGGGCATCCCACTGCCATCTGTTCTCTCTCCTGCCCTCAATGCATCATGCACCCCATGTGGAGTGCCGTTTTGAGTCCGTTCAACGCTTACCCGCAGCAATCTGTTCTCTCTCCTGCTAGCAACTTAGAAAGGGCGCGCCCAAGCAACGCTAAGCTTGCCCGCAACTGCAATCTGTTCTCTTTCCTGCTCTCAAGTATGGGGTGAGTTCCAACCACTTTTCACGTCCCCTTGTCTTCCTTTCCTCTCGTCGACGTGAACTCCCACCCCTAGACTACAGCAAAGACCGTTTACATGGCCTCCTGAGCCCTTCGTGATGCTAATGATGCACAGCTTGCCGTCAATTACATCACTTGCATCACAACACCCCCCCCAAACAAAAACTACTCATTTTCACTATGTCCGGGCCACCTCTATTCTTCGCTCCGCCACCGGGCTCAGGGTCAGCCTCTCCAAACGTGCCCATCTGGCACCCCCTTTACTCACTTCGTTCGCACAACAACCTCAAGCCTTGCCTATCGGCTGGCTTTCGTGATTATATACATATAAATGTTGAAGTGAAACAGAGAACCCTGAAACACAGAGGACACGGCACCTGCTTGCTGTGCAGAAGACAGAGAAACTAGATCACCCCGTTTACAACGGAAGGTGGAAAACTTGATTGCCCTAAGCGACTGCTGGACTGATGGCACTGTATTTTGGACCAATGCCGCCCTACCACGATTGAAAATCTCTAGCTGTAGCTGAGCTTATGATAGTGTTCGAAAACATCGTCAGCACTTTCTGGAATAACAACAAGGAATCATGCGGCCCATGCGTGATATGCTTCAAACCAAGCGCGTATTTGTGCACAACAAGGCGGTCAAAAGCGCAGAAACTCCTTGAAGCTTTAGGCAGCACGTAAATGTAATTAGTGCCACAATGCTTTTGACCTTGGACCAGCTGAGTGCAAAGCCATAAGATCTGAAGAGCGGTCGCAGGCAAAGCTTGGAAAGCTTTCTCGCGCTTCCCAAGTCCTCACGAAGCAAAAACATCTGGAGTGAAAGCTTCGCACTTGATCGGAAGCCAGCTTCTCCAGACTGGCACACCATCAGCAAGCGGATAGAAAGCTAGACCTCAACAATCACCACTGCAGCAGAAGAATCCGCGCAAAACAACTGAGTAGCTGACTCATAGGGTTGTTTCGCAAGTCAAGATGCCTTGCAGGCGCTTAGCGACGCAGGTCGTCAGATTCTCGAGCGACTTCCCAAGTACCAATTGGGGCATCGGCTCAAGGGCCAACCTGCCGGCCATATCCATGGTCTTCGCAATATCCTCAAGCCAGAACTCTCTCTGGCGCTTCTGTGCATCCATCCCACTCGCATGTTTTTTCTGCGCGCACACCATGTGGCAGACCAAGCAAATTCAAGAATGTGATTGATTGATTGCGGCAAGCCTGACCTTGCAAAATCCTTCGAGTTTGCAACTCTCACCGACCGGAAACTTAACTCCAAATGACGAGCAGAGCGCACAAAACGCTTTGCCGAGCGCGGCCACGCAACGCGAATGATCAAGAAAGGAGCCAGCCAGCAAGCAAGTTCAAATTCCGCATCAGGTTCTAGTGCTGTTGGAACTCCACTCATGGCTCTGCCTTTGCAACTATTGTATCACCAGATTTGGGCGTGAGCCCACTCAGTCTGGTCGGCAGGGCCAATGGGCACTGGCTAGGTTCCTGCCTGAAAGAATGCCTTCCGCAGGACTACTTGCATATACACACAAACTGAGATAGAGATCTCACCGGGGTGAGCATAATTTCAGTCAGCGACTCACCCATGCACTAGCCCTGCAGTAGACCTTGACTTGCAGAACTGAAAAGAAGTGATTCAAGGTTTCAACAAAGCGCGTTAGCCCTTTAGTGAAGAGTAGCGTGAACAGCTTGGAGAACAGTTCAAAAAAGCAGGCGCGCGGGAGACGTCTGACCGCTTCCCATGACACCACTAGCTTCGTTGGCCAGCGTTGTGATGTCATGCGCTCGCCCCCTGCTCGAGAAATGATTCTAAGGAAGCTCTTAGAACAGAGGGTGAAAGACACAGTAGGCCGGCGCCCGGCACCCCGTTGAGAGTCAGCACCGGCTTTTTCCGCGCAAAGCGCTGGCAATCGCTGGGTCAGTGTCCTGTTTGGACACAAAGAGCAGTCAGTTCGGTCACAGCTGCGTCGGCCGCTGAAGGTGTGGAAAGGTGTAGTGTCTAATGGCGTGAATACGTGAAGCCAGAGGCGTGGTCGCGAATTTTCCATGTAGGTGACGCGGTCGTCCACATAGCGGTAATAGGTGAAGTGTAGCTGGGTGTGGGTGAGCAAATCGTTGTGGAGCTGGCGCCACGCGTGTTCGACGAGGGTAATGGGACCCAATCCCAGCCCCTCGGATTTGTTGGTATGTGGCGCTGCAAGCCCGGAAAATGCAGGTGTCCAATGCCATGTTGAGGGCGCATTGCGTGGGACGGCGGCGGTGGTGTCGGCCAGTGGGAGCGCTGCAATGGCTTGATTCTTGATATCGATGGTGATGGTGGTGTATGGCTCAGAGTGCAGTGTTGGGCTTCAATGTCTTGAGCCAAATGAATTAAGCGGCAGCTGACTGAGGAAAAATATATACAAACTAACTACGGACAACAGGCGCTACACACGTATAGCGTAGACACGCCTAGGGCCCTACAAAACACAAACAGACAGAAATTTTCTTCGCATCGTAGCTTACGGCTGCAAAACTACAAAAGGTTGCAAAATGCGCAATTGAATTACTACAGTTCTGGCATCGCAGAACTTGGCCGTAGATGCCATTCTGGCTCTCAATAAGTCTATGACGTCAGACAATCTAAAAAGTCTCTCAAAAACGGAGTCTCGCTAATCTGTACAGATCTACGAAAGGCAAAATTATCTTGCTGTGATACCCTCTGTATCCAGTGTCCCAGCCGGATTTCCAACATGATGAGGAAGAGGCAGAGGATTGCCACCAATCTTGCCGTTCTTGCCTTCTCCACTGGGACCGTTCTTTGTCCTTCTGTCTTCGATGCTGCGCAGATGCTTCACCTCGGACTCGAACGCTGGATCTTGAGGCCAACGAAAAGTTACACTGAATCAGGTGGTGATAGGCCTCGTCGCTGCTCTTTAAGCAGAATCTAGATTCAAATGTTTCAGGTAATCATTGACCTTTATGAGCCGAGGGTTTCTTTTTGACGCGGAGGTCCGATGTATCCAACACGGCCTCGGTCTTCCGGAATGTCGGATGACCTCTTCACTAGCGCATATCTTTGCCATAATTCAGCACAATCTGCATAAGGCAGCCCACGTCGGCATCCTGTCCTTCTGCAAGCTGCTGTGTGACGAGTGTGGAGACCTCCCAGTTGTAGGTAATGCGTCGGCGAGGTTCACGCAGCTTATTAGCAGATACTAGGATCTAAAAGGCTTAGGGCGGAGCCTGCTGCTGGATCGGAATGTCGATCCTGCTTAAACTGCCTATTAGTGAAGAGGTTCGCGTCACATACAATGACGTCCACCTGGTCCGCAACTGCCGTCACCATTGGTGAGTGCTTCCTTCCCTGCCGCGACGCAGTCGTTAAATGCGCTGGAGTTCAAGCGGAAGGCGCCAATCCGTAATTGCGGAAGATGCATTCGCTTGCAATCAGCCAGCCTACCAGTCCGGAATGTCGGACTTTCGTGGTACAAGACCTCAGCATCAATAGGCTTCATGTGCCTTGCGAAGATTTGCGCGGACTCCTTTATCGGTCGTGATGCCCCCATGGGTGTCCTCTTCGACCTGACCCCAAATAACTCTAAAAGTCGCCGCGCGCGCAGGCAAATTAAGGCGATCTGAATCAAGTTGAATGCGGCGTAAAAGCTCTAGCCGGGACGTAACGCCGTCCGTTGAGCATACACAAGCGACCGGATGCGCGCGCCCGTCAGGCATGGCGACAAGGCACATCTTACGGTACTGACGGAAAAGATCACTGTGTCTCTCCAGGCCGCCCGCTTCAAGAAGAATCGTTACAAGGGCGGTATTCCGAACCAAATAATGCGGAATGTCGGTTTCCCTGAGGCTTCGGGGCAATTGCTGCTGCTACCCTTACAATGAGGAGGACGGTCAATGTCGCTAATATTCAACAGCAAAACTGAAACGCGCTCGGTAGAACGAAGTCGTCTTGAAGTCGTTTTGCGTCCTCCAGATCAAAGTCGCCTTGGTTTGCACGAAAGCCTGCCATAAGGCTTCGGCTAAGGTCGACAATGCGGCGCATCTCATCGCCGGAATATCGGTGGGATTGGTCATAGTAGCAGCTAGGTCGTACAATCGGCTACGGGGCGATGTCACTCTGGTTGTTCCAGTGCTCGACGACGAATGGAACCTCGCTGGCACGGTAAGTAGGATGGTTGCTAAAGTGATACTTACTTTGATCCCTCTAAAATGATACTGATACGGTCCATTGCGGCAAAGCCGGTGGATCCGCCGCTCATCACCAAATCTTTCATCTCACGAAGTCGTCGGCGTCGTCCAGCGAGTCTGTCCAAAGGTGTCCATCCTTCAGAATCGGGAGCGAATGGCGTCGAAAAACTGACCTCAGCGGCAATGTCCTCCCGTTCATCTTCACCCAGTGGTGCCGGAATGTCTGCATCTGGGATCGTCGAGCTTAGGTACATTGAGTTGCAAAGTGGCATTGGTTAGACTTGCCGTGGAAGCAATCCAGGCATGTACCGTGGCCTCAAGCGGCAGAACAAGAGCACTTCTGAATTCTTCCTGATGGCAAATATCACAAGGCATAGTTTCTGGCCGCCGCTTAAAATCCATCTTGGTTTTCTGTGCGTCGGCGGCATCTTTCATCACCTCACGCGGTTCGCGATGTGGCTCGCTTTTTGGCCGTGGGTTCGAAAAACTTCGTCTCCGGAACGTCGGAGGAGAAGGACACACGGCGTCTGCCTGCTGAAGGTGAACGGCTGGGTTCGCGACGGTCTGCTTTCTCAAGGACAGTGCGTGATGGCACGCGAGAACAGGCACGAGATGCCCAAGCACGGGAACCTGCCTCCTTCTTGACTGTCGGGCTTCTTCTCACATTTCTGACCCAAACTCTTTTCTGCCTGGCCTCCGCGAGATCGTCCATCATCTGCTCATCCAGCGTATCAATGACTTGCTGGTCATCTGCATCGTCGGCCGGAATGTCGGCATCGACTTCCACGGCATTATCGTCAGCCTCATCATCGTCACTATCAATGATACAAGTAGTTCCCGGGCAAGCCGGCGGCGGAAGTTTCCTATAAGAAGAAATTGACCTATAGGAGTGTCCACGTTCTCTCCAACACGCGCGTCCTCCAGTCAAACGCACGCGCTCCGGACTTCCACGTGTGTAAGGTGTGTGCGCCCCCTGCGAGAGATGACACACATCCGGCCACCACGACTTGCCAAGGATGCGGCCCACATCGACACACATCCCACCGTGGCATTCTTCAGTGGCGGCAAACCTTGCATATCACACATCGGACTGAATGGAATCCGAATTTGAATGTAAAATCTGTCTTGAACTCTGAGACTATGTATGATGAGTCTTGTATGATGAGGGGTGTATGACAAGTGATGAATGATGAGTGGTGTATGTTGAGTGGTGTATGACGAGTGGTGTATGATGAGTGGTGTATGCTGACTGGTGTATGATGAGTGGTGTCTTGACCAGCAGTTGAATGTCCTGTCCTGCATAACTGCAACCAAATACTATCAGTATGAACTGAACGCGCACGCCGCGAGAGATGACTCAGTCGCGAGAGATGACTCAGCCGCGAGAGATGGCTATAGCGAGAGCTGACTCAGCAGCGAGAGATGAATGAGCAGCGAAAGATGACTCCTCCGGGTACTACACTGTTCGCCAGTACAACTCTAGTTGTACTACGAAGTCGCCAGTCCTCAGCTTCTAGCTGCACAGATTGCTCCGCGTGCTGAAGTTGTACTACAAAGTCGCCAGTTCTCATCGTCCAGCTTGCCAGATACTCCGCGTACTAAAGTTGTACTACAATGTCGCCAGTTCTCAGCTTCCAGCTCTACAGATTGCTCCGCGTACTAAAGTTGTACTAGAAAGTCGCCAGTTCTCAGCTTCCAGCTCTACAGATTGCTCCGCGTACTAGAGTTGTACTAGAAAGTCGCCAGTTCTCAGCTTCCAGCTCTGCAGATTGCTCCGCGTACTAAAGTTGTACTAGAAAGTCGCCAGTTCTCAGCTTCCAGCTCCACAGATACTCCGCGTACTAAAGTTGCACTACAAAGTCGCCAGTTCTCAGCTTCTAGCTGCACAGATTGCTCCGCGTACTAA